CTTACATCCCTCAGTGATAACCAATGGGAGAAACTGGAAGTGTCTCAAAATGATGCTCTCAGAACAATGCTGGGAGCACCTATATGGACGCGTAGAGAGAACCTAAGAATGGAAACCAACAGAAAACAGGATCAAACAAAGGATTGCCACCATAACAGCAAATTTGTTGGAACCACCGCCAGACTGTCAATCAAAGACAGCATACAGAGATCCCTTCAGAAAAACCTTTAATATGGAACCAAGCACATAGATGGATAATCTGGTCAAGATTCTAGAGAAAGTGGTCTTGAAATGGACCATTAAAAACAAAGGGGAAGATAGATCATATCAACACTTTCGGCAGCCTCCTACATGGAAAGAATCGAGTCTAAAGATAATCATTGAAGGATTACCAGTTAAAAAATCAGCATGTGACTCGCAGAGGCTCAAAGAAGTAATAGAACAACAAATGAAAACCATCTCAAGTCCTACAACGCTCACATCTTTACCGATGGATTAGTTAATCAAGGAAGAGGTTCTGCTGGGGCAGCAGTTTACACTAACATCCATGAAGCTTACTGGAGCATGAATAGTGGGTGCTCAACATTGCAAACATAATTATATGCCCTAAAGGAGGCAATAAACTATACAATTGAGAATAATTTACATGATATCATCATTCATACCGACTCTAAATCTTCGCTCCAGGCATTGTTATCCAGTCAGCGCAGAGATAATATACAACTCCTCACAGAAATTCAACATATAGGAAAAGAAGCCCATAATCTAGGGATGTCAATCCCCTAAATTGGATACCAAGTCACATTGGCATAGATGGTAATGAAAAGGCAGACTCACTAGCAAAAACTGCCACTGCTCTACCAGGTGTACAAGTTTAAATACCTCCCAGTTTTTTACAGATTAAGGAGCAAATCAAGAAGAAAATACTCTCAACTATCAAAAGTCGCCACAGAGCCAAAGTAGCGGAAGGAAGATCCACTGCGATATGGTACGAATAAGCCACTGTTTACTCCTCTTTCAAACCTGTCAAAAAGATATCCAAAGACATTGCAGTAGCCGGTCGGCCGAGCGGACAGCACGCTGGACTTGTGATCCTGTGGTCCTGGATTCGATCCCAGGCGCCGGCGAGAAACAATGGGCAGAGTTTCTCTCACCCTATGCCCCTGTTACCTAGCAGTAAAATAGGTACCTGGGTGTTAGTCAGCTGTCACGGGCTGCTTCCTGGGGTTGGAGGCCTGGTCGAGGACCGGGCCGCGGGGACACTAAAGCCCCGAAATCATCTCAAGAAGAATAGCCATACATAGACTCAGACTTGGTTACAAGTGCTGCTGGGAAGTAATGAACCCCATAGTAACAGTGTCATATCTGTAAAACAAAAACAGAGGCGCCACTATTGCACTACTTACTGGAATGTGAAGCTACTGAAGCCCTGCGCATCAAACTAAACATTAATCCAACGACAGCAGCTGCATTAGACGCTCATTCCACCGCGACTACAATGATTAGAAAAGCCGTTGAGGAATGGGACTCACTAATGAGCATTCTGCATCTACATCCGCCACCAAGATAATGTTATTAAAACAAGACTAAAACCAGTGCACTAAAACAAAAGCGAAAAATAAACCGGGAAAACGGAGGAATCCCCACCTCCATTTTAAACTTTGACCCCAAATATCACAGTAACAAGGTTATCGCGAATAACCGAATTAAATTACGGGCTCACCTTAGACCGTGCTACATGGACACTTCGTTCTGAGTAGCTAAATCTAAAACAACAACAACGTGTATCCTCTGCAAGTCAACCATATATATGCAGCCTTAGTATATTCCCTGCAAGTCAACCATATATATGCAGCCTTAGTATATTCCCTGCAAGTCAACCAAAAATATACGCAACCTTAGTACATAACCTGTACGTCAACCATATATACGCTGCCTTAGTACATAACCTGTACGTCAACCATATATACGCTGCCTTAGTACATAACCTGTACGTCAACCATATATACGCTGCCTTAGTACATAACCTGTACGTCAACCATATATACGCTGCCTTAGTACATAACCTGTACGTCAACCATATATACGCTGCCTTAGTATATTCCCTTCAAATCACCAACTGTTGTGTCTGTCGCAAACCTGCTTGGGTGATATGTTCTGTTAATTTTATAATGAGTTTCACGTAGAAATATAAAATTATAATCTTAGTAATTTGGTCTGCAAATAATTAAAATTGTTTACTATTCAAGTTAACCATATAATTATAGAAGCGCTGATTACTTTTACAATATTCAGTATGAATAATCTTGTGTACGAATAACAATAAACTAGTATTATGTATGTATGTATGTATGTATGTATGTATGTATGTATGTATCTAACAATAAAATAATCTAGCATGAATAACTCGGGTCAGAATGGTGCTCGAGCTTCAGGAGTGCCTCACTCAGTGTATTATGAATGAATAATCATACTGATGTTATCTGCACGTTATTGCTATCCGATATTAACAAAATTGTACTCAGATTAAATTATATATTGATGTATTGTTTCTTAGTAAAGTGTTAATTGATCAGCTGTATTATCAGTCACCTGTCAGCTTGATTCACCTGTTAATGAGTCAAGACTCTTCACAGAGTGACGAAGATGATGGAAGGAAAATAGTCTGCAAAAGCGAATTGTTTAAATAAATTAAAAACTTATTTTCAAAATAAAAAATATGAATAAAAAACAGTTATAAATGTTAAGTAAATATTTCATTATACCATCAATATTTCTGGGTAAAATATTATTGGATTAAATGTTCAATGAGTTTTTTGTTGAGTTGCATAAAAATAAAGTTAATTCCGACGTGCAAATGCACTTTTAAAGGTTAACGTTACATTGTTTGAATTGTAAAATGTTATATGAAGATTATTGATAAATTGAGCTCAAGATGCTGGGTTATACTAAAACATGAAACCCTTGCTCGAGAATAATTTTGGGGGTGGTATTGTGGTTGAGACACCTGTAGCTTACCAATCCATTTGCATCCTAGCTGACATCTGTGGTTGTGACGTTACCAATGTGCACCTTAGCTGACATCTGTGGTTGTGACGTTACCAATGTGCATCCTAGCTGACATCTGTGGTTGTGACGTCATCAATGTGCACCTTAGCTTACATCTGTGGTTGTGTCGTCATCAATTTGCACCCTAGCTGACATCTGGGGTTGTGACGTCACCAATGTGCACCCTAGTTGACATCGTTGGTTGTGACGTCACCAATGTGCACCCCAGCTGAAATCTGTGGTTGTAACGTCACCAATGTTCACCCTAGATGACATCTGTGGTTGTGACGTCACCAATGTGCACTCTAGCTGACATTTGTGGTGTTGAGTCGGAGCGGTCGGCCGAGCGGACAGCACGCTGGACTTGTGATCCTGTGGTCCTGGGTTCGATCCCAGGTGCCGGCAAGAATCATTGGGCAGAGTTTCTTTCACCCTATGCCCCTGGTACCTGGCTGTTAGTCAGCTGTCACGGGCTGCTTCCTGGGGGTGGAGGCCTGGTCGAGGACCGGGCCGCGGGACACTAAAAAGCCCCGAAATCATCTCAAGATAACCTCAAAATTGACGTCACAATGTGCACCCCTATCTGACATCTGGGGTTGTGACGTCACCAATGTGCACCCTAGCTGATATCTGTAGTTGTGACGTCATCAATGTGCACCCTAGCTGACATCTGTGGTTTTGACATCATCAATGTGCACCCTAGCTGATATCTGTGGTTGTGACGTCACCAACGTACACCCTAGCTGATATCTGTGGTTGTGACGTCACCAATGTGCACACTAGCTGATGTCTATGGTTGTGACGTCACCAATGTGCACACTAGCTGATGTCTATGGTTGTGACGTCACCAATGTGCACCCTAGCTGATGTCTATGGTTGTGACGTCACCAATGTGCACCCTAGTTGATATCTGTGGTTGTGACGTCACCAATGTGCACCCTAGCTGATATCTGTGGTTGTGACGTCACCAATGAGCACCCTAGCTTATATCTGTGGTTGTGACGTCACTAATGTGCACCCTAGCTGATATCTGTGGTTGTGACGTCACCAATGTGCACCCTAGCTGATGTCTATGGTTGTGACGTCACCAATGTGCACCCTAGCTGATATCTGTGGTTGTGACGTCACCAATGTGCACCCTAGCTGATATCTGTGGTTGTGACGTCACCAATGTGCACCCTAGCTGATATCTGTGGTTGTGACGTCACCAATGTGCACCCTAGCTGATATCTGTGGTTGTGACGTCACCAATGTGCACCCTAGCTGATATCTGTGGTTGTGACGTCACCAATGTGCACCCTAGCTGATATCTGTGGTTGTGACGTCAGAGAGATCACATTCATTCAAACACAAAAGATTTGTGTGTTTGATTATTTATCTGTTGGCACGAGGAACACAGTAATTATCTTCACACCCGCTGCACCTCACATTCCCCCTACTCCTCATTCCTCATACACCTCACACCCACTACACCTCACTTCCCCTACACCTCACTCTTCATACAACTCACACAAATCAAATCAAATGTTTATTTAGGTAAGGTACACACATACAAGAGATTTTACAAAGAGTGATGGATTTATAGATAGGGCTAGTACATACAATGCCTAAAGCCACTATTACGCACAGCGTTTCGGGCATACCCGCTGCACCTCACACCCCCTACACCTCATTCCTCATACACCTCACACCTGCTACACCTCACACCTGCTACACCTCACACCTGCTACACCTCACTCCCCCTACACCTCACTCTTCATACAACTCACACCCGCTACACCTCACACCCCCCCTACACCTCATTCCTCATACACCTCACACCTGTTACACCTCACTCCTCCTACACCTCACTCTTCATACAACTCACACCCGCTACACCTTCCACCCCCCTACACCTCATTCCTCATACACCTCACACCTGCTACACCTCTCACAATACAACTCACTCCCGCTACACCTCACACCCACTACTCGCACTCGATATTATTTACTCTCTGACGGTCGCAACTGCTCATTCTCCTCACAGCAACATACCTGACGACAATCCTGTTGAACTCCCGTGACCAGGTGCGCTCGGCCTCCAGTATGCCCGGCGGGACGTGGCCTAGCAGGTGAACCAGCTCCCCTGAGGCCTCTGCTCTGTTCAGCTGCTCCTCCAGCCACGCCAGCTCCTCCCCGGGGTCCTGCGAGTCCTCTACCAGCCACCTGCCAGTGACAGCTTTCCAGGTCAGCAGTGTGCCAAGTCCTAGGCCTTAACATTTACAAAAATACTCATGCTCTTCATATGATCCTGAATCCTAGTGTAAACATAATATATGCATTAAATCCATGGATTGGGAGATCACTATAATAATAATAATAATAATAATAATAATAATAATAATAGAAGCCAGCATTATACTGTTGCTGTGAGTGACACTCGTGAGCACTTTTATAGTTTATCAGCCCACTGTTCATACGTCTGCAGACGTCTGGTTGTTCGTGTAACTGAAATAGAAACCTGTCCCTTCTGGCAAAGTGGCCCTGTTTTGAACATTTTTGGAGGTAATTAATATCACCTCCCACCTAGGCCCACAAGTGCCTTCAGACATGCTTCTCTTTTTTATTTAATGTTATAAGTAATAATTTAGTTATCTTTAACGACAATAAGTCTCCCTGAAAAACATTAAGTTAATAGAGAATAATATGAGTCAAGGGAAATGCATTATTATATGCAGGAGTGTTGTGTAGAGAAGTGGGTGACGTGTGTGTGGGGGGGGGGGGGCAGTTGTATGGCACGAGTCCCGTACACATATTTATGTATTTTCATAACCCCTATCCCACCCGCCCCTAACCCCCTTCCCATCCGTTCCTTCATTCTCCCTCCTCCCATCCCACCAATTCCCCCCCCCCCCCCTCATTTAGCCCCTCATCTTTTTCATAAAATAAAATACTGGGGAGCAATTAAACTATTGCATGTGTTTAAATAAATTTTCTTTCTGATTACGAAAAACTCTTCGGACATATCAATCCATATTTCACACTTGACCACAATGGAATCTGTGAGAATCGGATGAGAAAAGTGTGAATAATTAGTAACATTTCCTAAGTCATTTAAATTTGGTTTACCCAGACATGCCTATGTCCGTCCTCTACCCTAGACCATTCCCTCTACACATTTGCATAAAGCTAGCCCCAAGCCTGTGGCCTCGAATTTGACAGTCAAATATTCTCTCGTATAGCATATTAATGGGGATACTCTGTATTGCCCAGGTCTCTGTCTATCTGTCCATCTATCTATCTATCATCTACCTATCCATTCATCTATTTATCAATACATCTCTCTATTCATCCATTTATCCATCTATCGATCCATCCATCTATCTGTCCATCTTTCTTTTCATCTACCTATCCATTTATCAATAAAACTATCTATCTATCCATCCATTCATGCATCTACGTACCCATGTATCCATCTACCTGGCCACCTATCTGTCCATGTATCTATTCATCTATCCAATTATGAAACCCATCTATCAATCTATTTATGCATCTATTCATATATCCTTTCATCTATCTATCCCGGTATTCATCCATATTTCATCTATCAATCCATCTATATCTGTCTATCTATTCATTCATTTATCCATCTATCTATCCCAGTATTCATCCATATAACCATCTATCACTCCATCTATATATCTGTCCATCTACATCTGTCTACCTATCCATCTATCTACCGCGGTATTCATCCATATGTCCATCTATCAATCATCTATATCTGTCTATCTATTCATGATAGATAGACAGATCGATCGTTCGTTCCGCATTCAATATTTGCTTGAACTCCTCTAGTTGTGCTTGCGGAGGTTGAGCTTTGGCTCTTTGGTCCCCACCTCTCAACTGTCAATCAATCGTGTTCTAGTAATGAATCCAGAGAAAAGTTGTCTAGGCATCCTGACAGCACGATTCTTGTGAGTTTTTCTGAAGGGTCCAGCTTTTCCAAGCACACAGATTTTTCCTTGCTGGACTGTTACTGTTTGTAATAAGTTTTTTGCAGTCTGTTGGTCTCGCGGAGTCATTATTATTTTTCCTTTCAAGTTGATTATGATAGAAAGTTTGAGTTTTGGCTGTTCCTTTTCCATTGTCGTTACTATTCCATTTCCGTGAGGAAAGTCGTCTGTCTCCATTATGTTGAAAGTTAGAAGATATGCAGAGCCCACAGGCTGGTTGTGTCCTTATTTGTCTTATAATGTTGCCCCTATGGCTGTGCTGTAAAGAGAAGTACATTGTCTGACACTGGTTGGTGTGAGACTGGTGATATCCTCTCCTGTCTCAATATGTTGTCCTGTGGCTGGGTTGTGGAGAAAGAAACATTGCCAGACACTGACTGGTGTATAACTGGCACTGTCCTCTCTAGGTCCGTTATGTCTGGTGTTTATCTGGAAGAAGCACTTGGTGTAGCCTCAATAGCAGTATTCGTCTGTGCCTGCTACACCTCGGTCCACTGTCTCTCGTATGAAAACTGCTTCCATTTCCTATTTCTATTTTACTTCCCCTTGACGTCTCCACGTAGTGAGGACCAATTTACTGCCCTAACTAATGCCTGAGACACTCCTAGGCCTGGATAATTTAATTCCCCGCCAAGGAGGTCGTAAAATGATTCCTCCAGGTGGAATCAGGGACACGTTACACCTACTTGAGCGGTTTGGTTATCCTTTCCCTTTCATGCTCAGCTCAGTACACCTACTGAGGTTCCCCTTTCTGGCAATGTCCGTAGCGTATAACCTCCCCCTTCAGGGTAGGACTCATAATGACCTGGTTATTTATACGGTCTTAACAATAATGAAAATAATCGATCATAGAAAGTTAGGCAACGAGTGTGGTATGACAGTTTTGGGGTCGCCTGCGTACTGTGGCTCGCACAATACCAACCAGCTGGACAGCAACTAATCAACAATATTGTTTATCCACTAATTGCAGACGAAATCAGAAAAATTTCCTTCCAAACATGATATACTCTGAGTCTGAGTAATGATGTGCTCTTTCTCACAATACAGCGATGATTTGAGCTTGGGGGTGCTCAGAACCTTAAATTTTAGATAACAAAGCCGAATGTGGCCTCCAATACCAATAGCGCCAGCAGCGGATCAACTAATAAGTGATGGGGAGTAGAAGCCTTCAAACTAATACTTCATGGGAATTAAGGAGCTGCAGAACTAATAAGTGATGGATGTTAAGGAACCTCGGAATTAATAAGTGATGGGTATTAAGGAGCCTCGATACCTATATGTGATGGATGTTAGGGAGCCTGAGAACTAATTACTAATGAAGTGTTAAGAAGCTTCTGAACTAATAAGAGATGATTATTGGAACTAATTGGAACCAAGAGGAAGCTTGGAACTAATAAATCATGGATGTTAAGAAGCCTTGTGACTAATACATGATTAGTATTAATGAGTTTTGGAACTAATAAATGGTGGGTGTTAAATACCTTCGAAATTAATAAGTCTTGAAAGTTTAGGAACCCCAGAACTAATAAGTGATGGGAGGTTATCATGAGGTTATCTTGAGATGATTTTGGGGCTAAGCGTTCTCGCGGCCCGGTCCTCGACCAGGCCTCCATTTTGTTACACATCCCCAGGAAGCAGCCGTTTAACTCCTAGGTACTTATTTATTACTAGGTGAACAGGACCATTAGGGTGAAAAAACTCTGCTTATTCTGTTGTTTCCTCCTCTGCCAGGGATCGAACACAAAATCTTAGAACTACGAATCCCGAGCACTGTCCACTCAGCCGTAAGGCCCCAATGTAGAATTGGGCTGCATGCAATGAAGCCAATGGGCTTTTACATTCCATCCCAATGAGTTGTAGAAGCCTCAAAATTAATCATACTTGGGGTGTTAATAAGCTTCCGAACTATTTGGTGATGGGTCTTAAGGAGCCTCGGAATTAATTAGTGCTGGGTGTTAACGAACCTCTGAACAAATAGGTGATGATGTGTTCAGAAGCCTCAGAGCTAACAAGTGATTGGTGTTAAGGAGTCCTAGAACAAATAAGTGATGTTATAGAACCTCATACCTAGTAAGTGATGAGTGTTAAAAAGCTTCAGAACTAATAAAAGATTGGTGTTAGGGAGCTTCAAAACTAATAATAGATAAGTGTTACTGAGCCTCGAAACTAATAAATGGTGAGGTGATAATGGACCCTTCGAACTAATAAGTAAGTAAGTAAGTAATTATCAAAAGAAGGCACCAAACCGGGAAGGCTATGTAGCACCATCAAAGACGCAAAATAATCAGAGGGCGCTAAATATCACCAAGGATGCCAATACGAGAACAAAAACGCATAAGGCGAACGATATCAAAAGTATCCGAGTCACCAAGAATTCTATCGAGGGACAGGTGACCGCGAGGGGCGGTCGGAAAGCAAGACACACGCTCGTCCTGGAAGTCAGGACATTCAAGAAGGACATGCACGACCGTAAGAGGGACAATGCAACTAGGACAATAAGGAGCAGGGCGGCGCTCCATCAAGTGACCATGGGTTAAGCGAGTATGGCCAATACGCAACCTCGCCAGAGCTGTTTCCCACCGCCGGTTACGGTGGAAGGAGGACGGCCACGAGGAAACACAACATTTAAGAGTACGTAGCTTGTTACCAGTAACAGACAACCAAGAAGCCTGCCAACGGGTAAGAACTGAGGAATGGATAACTGGGTAAAAGTCGGAATACGGAATGCCTTTACGAGAGATGGGACAAGAGCGGACAGCTTCCTTAGCGGCAGCATCCGCACGCTCATTTAAAGACACACCAATATGGCTGGGAACCCAACAAAACTCAACCGACTTAAATTTACTGTGAACGAGAAACAGCCAATGCTGGATCTCGACAACCACTGGATGAACCGGATTAAAGGACCCGAGAGCCATGAGGGCACTACGAGAGTCAACAACAACCACAAAGGAAGACTGACAACGAGAAAGCAGGAGACGAAGAGCATAGAGAATAGCATAAAGTTCTGCTGTAAAGATGCTAGTCTCCGGAGGCAAGCGACACATATAAGTGCGATCAGGAAAAACAACAGAGTAGCCAACACCGTCCGCTGACTTAGACCCATCGGTGAAGACAGAAACGGAGCGGGAGTGAGAAGAAAAGTGCTCGAGGAAAAGGCGTTTTAGAACCGTAGGAGGGGTAAAAGCTTTAGTGATACGGGTCAAGGAAGTA